ATTCGAGAGAGTTCCTTAGCAGTTAAAATTAGAACACCAAGCCATAAGCTCATGTGCATCAATAATAGGATAGTAGTGGTAAATTGTAAATTTACTTAATTTCCTATTTTTACATACTAATTTAGAATGCAACCAACAACTAAGCACAACGTCAAGCTAATTCCAGGCACGAGGAAAAGGTTAAATTTTTAATCATTTAAATAAAGAGCCCTTTTTCTAGAGAAAGCTAAGAGGATAGAAGAAAAGAAAAATTAAAAAAAGGAAAAAAAAAAAAAGAAAAAGAAAAAGAAAAAAGGCTCCCAAGAAGCTTCTTGAGTTGGTTGGCTCATTGACAACGCACGCACGTGACTAGGGCTGTCTAGTCTATTCTGCGGCTCCGGTCCGGTCCGGTGTTCTTCTGGTTGCCGGAAATTAACTACCTCTTAGACGAATCAATTGCACACCCTCTGATTTGCCCGGTGCAATTGCCGGAGCCACGGTGCCGGTGGTTCTTCATTATCACCGCCGATGTTCTGGCACTCCAACGGCTCTGATTTGATCTCCGCCCCACCACCGGGTTGCTGCAAATGGAGCTGCGGCTCATCGTCACCTTCCCTTAAACGCTTCGTTCCGATGGAGACACCAAAAAGCCTTGTGTTCATGTCCTCCGCGCCGGTCCCTCCCTCATCCGATAACCCCTTGACCCGTAACAGATCCAACGGTTTCGCCACCGACAAACCGACCTCCGACTGAGAACTAGCGTAATTCGACATCAGAGTAAATATATTGTTGCACAAACTCTTCATTTCCGCTAATTCTTTGTTCAATTGCACGTTTTCTTTCCTCAGTTTCTCGTTTTCTTCAATAAGCTCCGCCGGTGCGGCTCCCGCTTGTCCGTGTCCCGACCGCGGTGAATTCGAAGAAACGACCTGCTCTTCTCCCGAATTTGACGGAGATATAATCGGTTTCGCTATCGGTATAGCCGCTACAGTCACCGGCTGAGCCACCGTTGTCGCCGCCGTCGCCGCTAGCGCGCAAACTTTCCGCCGCTGAATTTCGCAAAGTAACCGCTTTTCGCCTCGGCGAAAACACTCATTCGAAAATTCCCAACGATCCGGCACCACTTTCCTAAATCCCTGCAAAAAAAAAAAAAAAAATCAATCTCGAAACAAAACAGGAACAAACTAAAATTTTGAGAATTAAAGAAAAATTTCCTAAAATTCAATTCCTTACATAAGTATTGAGTTGACGAACGAAGCTGGAGAAATTATTGTGCTTGAAATATTTAGGGAGTAAATCCCGAGCAAACACCGTCGGATTCCACACGATGAAGGTAGAGCCGTCATCGTTCCATGAAATTACATCATCTATCGCTGGATCGTCGACGAGTTGAAACGTCTTGGTCAAGAACGGCGTGGGTAAAGATCTCTGTGACTCCAACGCCGCCACCTCACCGTTCTGCTCCCCCGGCGGCGGAGCCATGAAAGAGCAGAAATGGAAGAGGATTGTAGGTTGGGAGTTTGAGAGTTTAAATTCTAGAAGATTCGTAGTTTGGGGATTTAAGAGTAAAGAGAAAAGTAAAATGGAAAGGAAGATAAGAAGAAGAAGCGGAAAAGGAAGAGGAAGAAGAAGGAAAGAACTGGAAGCTGCGTTTGGTCCAGTCGAGAAACTTCCTGTTGAATTCTGTTATTTTATACGTGTCAGTGGATGGGTGGGCACCCTGATGTCCTTGGGAGTTTACAGTGGAGATCGGTTACGGAGTTAGTACATTTGTTTTTATTAGGTAAAAATTATAAGGTTTCTTCAATTTCCCAAGTGTTTTGCCGTTTACACACCGTGTGGAATTAGAAAGGTTAAACCTCCAATTTGGTCCCTGAACTATTATATAGACTCTTAATTTGGTCCTTAAACTAAAAATATCCTTGATTTAGTTCTTTAATTATTGTACAAACCTCCAATTTGATCTTTACTGTTTTTCAATTTGCTCTAAATTGGTTATTCTATAAAAAAAAAACTGACGTATTTGTTATTTAACAGTAAAAAAAAGTAACTTAACGGTCACATATTATATTAATAATAAAATGCATCAGTTGGTTTTTATATGAAAAGATTAATTTGGAGTAAATTGATAAACAGTAAGTACCAAAATGGGGTTTGTAACTTTGTATAATAGTTTAGGGACCAAATCAAAAATTTTTTTAGTTTAGGAACAAAATTGATGGTCCATATAATACTTCAAAGACCAAATTGGGATTTAACCAATTAGAAAACATGAGCAATTTAATGTGGGGAGGGAGGCCCGCTATCAAACGGCATATTATTATTTAATAGTCAAAGCTTTTTGTGGTTTAAATTAAATTATAAAATATTTTTTTTAAAATTATAATTTATTT